CATCAAGGCTCTCTTTTCCACTTCCTCCATGTACAGGTTTGCAACAACAGGAGAAACTGGGGATCCCATGGCTCTTGGAGGAGAGACGAAACATTTCATTAGAGAAGAACCCGTCCAGAGGACCTATACAATTTTTTTCTTTTTGATTTTTTACCTGGATTACTGAGATGCATCAGGACATGTCCATGGCTGCTTGACCAAATCTCATCCAGATCTGGTTCACTACCTTGGGATGAAGTTTCCAATCCACACAAAGCAGTTGCCCCTGGATAACAGATCTGCACCATAATTCAGGGCTTCTGCTGTGTGAGTTGCTCTCAGAGACTGCTCACACTGCTTTAAATGATCAGTTTGTGTGCCGGTACGTGTAAGCCAGGGGACCTCAGTACCCCTTGCCTGTTGATGTAGGCCACCACTGTGGAGTTGTCTGTTTTCACCAAGACATTGCTCCCCCTTTTTTAAGCCATCAGCTCTTATGTAAATTGACCGCATGTGAGCCCCCCATTTCCCATTTATGGATTTCCAGTCGTGGGTGGCACCCCCAGCCTACCAGAGAGGCACCTGTGTTGGGTAGAAGTTGTGCCCATAGGGGTGCCCTGAGTCAAGAAGAGCTAGAGATCAAGTTGTAAAGACTTTTACTCTGCAGTGGTCATCATGATGTGGGTCCAAGTTCAGGGATGACACCCATGACTGTATTCCTCTCATATAGTCTGTCAAGTGGTATTGGCACCACTAAGTCCCACTGGGAGGAGACCCAGAGGAAGACCCAGGACGGGCTGGAGGGACTATGCTTCTCAGCTGGCCTGGGAACACCTTGGGATTCCCCCAGAGGAGCTGGTCCAAGTGGCTGGAGAGAGGGAAGTCTGGGTCTACTGCCCCCGAGACCTGACCCCGGATAACCAGAAGAAAATGCATGCATGTCGTTATTTCTGCTTAGTTTGCTGACAGCGCAATGAACTCTGGGATATTGTCTGCTGCGTGGGACACTCATTTGCAGACTACGTTTTCGGGGTTTTGTTTGCTGCTTTTGTCGGCTGTATGCGCAAGCAACTACAAATTGGGACAGCCTACTGGGCGGGGCAGTGATGTAAGCGGCCAACAAATGCTGCAGCATGAATTGAGACTATGTTAACCCACATATTGCATCATTACAACATTAGAAGAGTCCAGGTGCTGAACTGGCCTGACTTCATCTCAGATCCCTCACCAATGGAAAACACTTGATGCTTCGTGAAACATAAAACCCAGAAAAGCCTAAATAATCCGTCAGACAACTAAAAACGTCAAAAACTGGTCTGGAACAACTGTAAAGAGACGTGTTGTCATCATCATTTTCTAAATCTCTTTTTTACTTGTATTTTTTTATTATACAACTATTTAGGTTAAACCTTTGAGATGTTTGCCATGTTCTATCATAAATAAAACATGGATTTATGAGATTTGTAAATGATAAGACAGGCTATGGAAAGAAAACACTGTAAACTTTTTAGGTTTTACAAATATGTGAAAAACAAATTAACTAAAAGAAAAGTAAATAGGTAGAAAACACACAAAACAAATAATGAGACAACAAATAAATGTGACTAAATCAGAAATGAGTCAAACTGAGCATAAAACTACATGACTGCAGGTTCAAAGTGAAATAAATAAAATATCTGACCAGAAAAAGACACAAAACATAAAAATAATCTGAAAACAACAAACTGACAGAAGCACACACAAAACAACACAAAAAAATTAAATTAACATAATCTAATTAATTATACAAAATCAGTGTAAGAAACTGAAGTTCAGTGTTGCTGAACTGTAAACACATAAAGCTGTTTACTGATCAATAAATGAATTAATTAGCTGGTTTTTCTTCTCACAGCTTCATAAAAATGCAGTTGAATCATTGAAACTGAATGATAAACAAAACTAATCCCCTGTTTGTAGTTTGGACTCTCATTCAGGTATAACAGCACATGTTAAGCCTCATCCTGGTTGAAACTAAACTCTGTCATCTGAAAATGTTTCAAAACTGAAACTGGACCTTGTCACTGATCTTCACCAGATTAAGCTTTAGACCAGGCTTTTTGCTTAAATAAATTCATACTTAGGTTCATAAAACAATCATTTAAATACCAGCATGCACACACGCGCTTTTTTTTTATCACTAAGCTCTTCTTTTGCTTTTAAAAACAACCTTTTATGACGCTTTTCCAGATCTGATCACCGCTGTCCTGAGGAGCAAACAAAACGCCAGATCTCCGTTCAGAAACGAGTTGTTTTATTTCTCCCCAGTGAAAATTCAAAATTTGGCTTCACTTTTCCTCTTTTAATACATGCTTCTGATTTGTACGGTTATATTTTATTATTCGGCTTGTATATACTGTATAAATCCTTGGCATAAATGTCGCCTTTCCAAGGAGACTGTATGTAGTTGGTGTCGGAAGCGCGCAGCAAGGTGAACTGTCATTAAGAACAAGAAGCTCTGTAAAAGTACAAACACTACTTAAATACTACTTAAAGAAAAAACTGTTTACTGGAGTTTTATTTGAGCCGAATTAGTCAGAACACACTTTTAAACCTGTAAAACCCAACAGTGATGTTCTGGTTCTGGTTCGGTTTAAATAGCAATAAAATTAATCTAAATATTGCTGTTTTTCAGCAGAGTTCTGCACGGACTGCTTCCTTTCAGGATCCGGTGGGTTCTGCAGCTTTTAATGAGACCTGAAACGACAGCGCCGACGTGGACTCACCGGGCCGGCCCGTTTGTTGGGACCCTGTCGGTTCCGAGCAGCTGGACCTGGAGGAGGAGTAACGGTAACGTCCGACAGAGTAATCCCGTTCCGTCCAGAGCCAGCTGCAGGAGGACGAACCGTGTCTGCAGGGTGTCCGACTGGTCCGGTCCACTGGGTCTCCTGCTCTCTGCTTTTAACTTTTCATTTCTTCACTTGGCCGGTTGACGTTAGTTTACCTCCCGGTTTACCTTCTCCACGGAGACTCCAACTTCCGCATCGTTCACGTGACGTAACGGTGACGTACAGAAGTCCGATGGACCGCTGATAATAAT